TACATCAGAGCGCCTAGCTTTTCGGAGGTCCGAAAGCTTTCTGTAAAACTCATCTTTAACCTCGTCTGAACTGCAGTCAGTGGGGGCATAGGCAGATACGACGAAGAAGCAAGGGCGAGTGTCCCTATCTTTACGAGTCCTTACTGTCCCGTTTGGTCGGACAGCGCACAAGCGACTATCTACTGGGATCCAGTTTAGCTCTACGACTCAATGCTATAGCCACGCCAGCAAGAACCCCGGAAGCAGCACCAGGGCTTCCAGATACACGAAGAGTAAATCGAGCTGCTTATTTATCTTGACAAGGTGAAATCAGGTTAATGACTTTACTAAGATCCTGTATGCGCGTTTCCGAGACGCAGCATAGATCGATGGCACGAGATTCTAGAGTCCTGGCTAAGGAAGCCTGTTGTCCTATTTCACACAATGTCCATACATTAAAAGCTCCAACATGTAGTCTAGAACAGGGTTTCAAAAGACCAAGAATGACATTTCGTAAACTTGCTTCATTTGTATTAGCGGTGCAGTGACGTAAGGGAATGTGAGTATAGTTAGTTGTGGAGATAAGAGAGGTATGTTTGGGTATAGAGAGGATTTGATTTCGACTTATTTGGTCTCAACTCCGCCAGTAGAACCTTAGGGGCTACTGCCGGTCCCAAGCCCGGATAAAGGAGGAGGGTTGGACATGGGGTTGGCGGCCCCATTCCGTTGAAATCTAACTTGCCAAAAAAACGCTAACCAGAAAAAATAATTCAAACCATTTTAACTCTGCCCTGGGAGTTGGAAGAAGAATTATGACGTCTCGTGATGAAAGCCGAGTCCCCTCGGAAGTCACGGGGCCGATGCCTCTTCTGACAACCAGAGCAACCATTTTTTTAGGTACATGGAACGTTCGTACATTGTGAGAGACTGGAAGACTATTTCAAGTTGCGGCAGAAATGAAAAGATACAACCTCGAGGTGCTCGGCATCGGTAGGACAACTGAGACTTGCTTCAGGGGAACTGCTGTTATACTCTGGTCATGAAGAGGAAAACGCTTCACATACACAAGGAGTTGCACTGATGCTGTCCAAACATGCACAAAAGGCACTGATAGGATGGGAATCTCATGGACCCAGGATCATTAAAGCATCCTTCAAAACAAAGAAACAGGACATTACAATGAACGTCATCCAATGTTATGCACCTACCAATGACTACAATGACGACGACAAAGATCAATTCTACGAAAGGCTGCAGTCAGTCGTCGATAAATGTTCACCAAAGGATTTGACGATTCTGATGGGAGACCTGAATGCCAAGGTTGGAATGGACAACACTGGATATGAAGACATCATGGGACGACATGGACTGGGAGAAAGAAACGAAAACGGTGAGAGATTTGCAAACCTATGTGCCTTCAACAAACTGGTCATCGGTGGCACAATATTCCCGCACAAACGCATTCACAAAGCCACATGGATTTCACCGGACCACACTACTCAAAACCAAATTGACCATATCTGTATCAACAAAAAGTTCAGAAGGACCATGGAGGATGTGAGAACCAAGAGAGGAGCTGATATAGCTTCAGATCACCACTTGCTGATCGCCAAAATGAGATTGAAGCTAAAGAAGCACTGGACGACGGGGCAGACAACATCACAGAAGTTTAATACGGCCTTTCTTCGGGATACCGTAAAACTCAACGAATTCAAGATAGCCCTCACCAATAGGTTCCAAGCCTTTCAGGATCTACTCAATGGAGAGGAAGCAACATTGGAGAACAATTGGAAAGGGATTAAGGAGGCAATCACTTCAACATGTCAGGAGGTCCTTGGTCGCAAGAAGCACCATCACAAGGAATGGATCTCTGTTGGTACTCTTGAAAAAATTCAAGAAAGGAGGAACAAGAAGGCAGCTATCAATGTCTGCCGAACAAGAGCAGAGAAAGTTAAGGCGCAAGCCGAGTATACAGAAGCAAACAGGGAAGTGAAGAAGAGCATCAGAGCTGACAAACGAAAATATGTGGATTATCTAGCAATGACGGCGGAAAAGGTTGCAAGAGAAGGAAACTTGAGACAATTGTACGAAACTACAAAGAAGCTCGCCGGAAACTATCGTAAACCAGAACGACCAGTGAAAAGCAAGGAAGGGAAAATAATCAGCAACACTGACGAACAGCGAAATAGGTGGGTGGAGCACTTTAAGGAACTATTGAATCGACCAGCTCCACTGAACCCACCCAACATCGAAGCAGCATCCACGGACCTCCCAATTAATATTGGCGCACCTACGATTGAGGAGATCAGTATAGCCATCAGACAAATCAAGAGCGGCAAAGCAGCAGGACCAGACAACATTCCAGCAGAGGCAATGAAAGCAGATGTGGAAGCAACTGCGAAAATATTTCACATTCTCTTCAAGAAGATTTGGGATGAGGAACAAGTACCATCAGATTGGAAAGAAGGATACCTCATCAAAATACCAAAGAAAGGCGATCTCAGCAAGTGTGAAAACTACAGAGGCATCACTCTTCTTTCAATACCAGGCAAAGTCTTCAACAGAGTATTGTTAAACAGAATGAAGGACTTCGTAGACGCCCAACTTCGAGATCAACAGGCTGGATTTCGTAAGGATCGATCGTGTACTGACCAAATTGCTACATTACGGATCATTGTGGAACAATCAATTGAATGGAACTCACCACTCTACATCAACTTCATCGACTACGAGAATGCATTCGATAGCGTGGATAGGAAAACACTGTGGAAGCTTCTTCGACACTACGGTGTGCCTGAGAAAATGGTCAACATCATACGGAATTCTTATGATGGATTCAACTGCAAAATCGTACACGGAGGTCAGCTGACAGACTCTTTTGAGGTGAAGACCGGTGTCAGGCAAGGTTGCTTACTCTCACCCTTTCTCTTTCTCCTGGTCATCGACTGGATTATGAAGACGTCAACATCTGGAGGGAAGCACGGTATCAACTGGACAGTTAGGACGCAGCTGGACGATCTGGACTTCGCAGATGACTTGGCTCTTCTATCGCACACTCAACAACAAATGCAAGAGAAGACGACCAGTGTAGCAGCAGCCTCTGCAGCAGTAGGTCTCAACATACATAAAGGAAAAAGCGAAATTCTCCGATGCAACACAACATGCACCAACCACATCACGCTTGATGGAGATACCTTGGAGGACGTTAACACCTTCACATATCTTGGCAGCATCATCGACGAGAAAGGTGGATCGGACGCAGATGTGAGGGCGCGGATTGGCAAAGCAAGAGCTGCATTTCTACAGTTGAAAAATATCTGGAACTCCAAACAACTTTCAAACAAAACCAAAATCAGGATCTTCAATACAAATGTCAAGACAGTTCTACTGTATGGAGCGGAAACATGGAGAACTACCAAAGCCATCATTCAGAAGATACAAGTGTTTATTAACAGTTGTCTACGCAAAATACTTCGTATTCGTTGGCCAGACACCATCAGCAACAACGAACTGTGGGAGAGAACAAGTCAGATTCGAGTGGAGGAGGAAATCAGGAGGAAGCGGTGGAAGTGGATAGGACATACACTACGAAAAGCACCTAACTGCGTCACTAGACAAGCCCTCACATGGAACCCTCAAGGCAAAAGGAAAAGAGGAAGGCCAAGGAACACACTACGCCGAGAAATAGAGAAAGATATGAGAGGAATGAACAAACATTGGACAGAACTGGAGAGGGAAGCCCAGGACAGAGTTGGTTGGAGAAAACTGGTGGGCGGCCTATGCTCCATTGGGGGTAACAGGCGAAAGTAAGTAAGTAAGTTATTTGGTCTCGTGTGCTGTTACTGGTATGTGGGCGGTTGTCAATTCCCGTCTGCCCACACCGTGGAAGGTTGTTTCTTGAGGGACCTGAAAAGGAAGATAGATTAGTGCTGGTCTTAGAGACCGTGGTGCGTGACCGCAGAGCCCAAGGGACAACTGCTTGAGGCCGGTCACGCACGGCCTTTTGATGAAAGGTTTTTTGAGGATTAGCTCCGCTCTTAAAAGCCCTTAGTGGGCACCCTTACCCAAGGAGACGGAAATCCGTGAGTTAGGGGAGGTGTGACATTTTTAGGGTCGACCTTTTCTAACACTTTCTTCCTTGTGAGAAGGCAGCATCGCTGCAGATGCTGGTTGTCCGAGGGAAACACCTTACTGCTGTCACACCTCTCTGCAGTCAGTAGTACGACTTCGCCCTCAGACCTTGAGTAGCTGCTTTTAGTCTCATCGTTCTCCAATCGACCTGTCTGGCATGGTAGCACCTTCAGGAACATATGTTTCAGCCAGTATAGCGCAGTTGGGTCATCACGATAGGCAAGCCCGACCACCACGTCAGGATAGCAGCTACGGTCGGGTCTGGAAAAGGTACTTGTACTTTGTTAAATAGACTCCTTAAAGACATCTGGATATTGTTTGCTTAAGAATCCTAATATCACAAATTTGATCCTGAAATATATGCCATTTTCATTTGATTTACACTTTGGTGTCTTGTTGTTTTTGCAGGCCTTTTACTTACATTTTCAGAATGCAGTGGATTATATGTAGTGCGTTCTTCAGCTTTATCAAGAGGATACAACGGTATCAGCGTTTGCGTTTTAGTAAATACAACTGGTTATTATGTTAGGTTTGACTTAGTTAAATTTAAATGTCTGCAGATGCCTCCACTTTATTGATCTAATTTCATGTAAAGGACAAGCATTGGTAAATTGGTTAGTTAAATGTGACAACTTTTGTATCAGGTTATTTTTCGAAGTAGTACATTCTTGATTGTTCAGCACTATTCGAAATCTTCCTAAAACCTTATTTACATTTGAAAATGAATGAGAAATACGAGCATAGCATATGGCAGCGACTTCATTTAAAGACGGAACTAGTAGAAAACAGCTTTAAGGTGTTATACATTTACACAGAATCATAAAGAAATAGTTGAAGTGTACAACAAAAACTGTCATCGCGCTTTCTGAAGGACTTCATATTCCATTATTCTAAGGTCCAAATACACCAACAAATGCCGGTCTTAGAGGTCGTCCATGTAATTGATAGCCTACTTTTGTGACCACAGCAATTGTATTCTTTTCTTTCCCAGCTTCCAAAGGAGTTTGGAAGACAGCTTCATGAATATTTGGATCGAAATGTTCGCCAACTTCTGGGGAAATCTGGACTAAGTTATAGCGGGAGAAAACCTAATATATGACAAAAAAAATATACATATTTGAACCGTGATCATTGAAAAACAATCTATTAATACTGTTCCTACTTTGTTGAATGAGATTTATTGGATTGTTGTGATATTCCAACTTCTGAATTACTGATGTGGCGGCTATAATAAGTTCATTTTCGCGCATTACATTTACGACCAAACTGATGGTCAATGTGCTTTTTCGACTCGCAGCATCTTAACACGGGAAAATACAATAAAATGGGGCCGATAATAACTATATAGTCCGGAAAGTGTTGAGGGTAACCACAAGATTTGCTGGAGCCTATTTCTGTTCTTAAAGGTATTAGCGAAACCACTAGTGTTAGTTTACAGTAATCGTGAGATCATTAATGAGAATGAAGAAAAAGCCTAAGTTTGGTATATGTCAGAGTCAGTTTCTCTCCACACAAACTTTAAGCCGATCTTAAACTATCTGTTTATCCTCAATATGCGAAGTTTCGTAAGGAAGTATAAATAAACTATGTACTGCTATTTTAAGACCCCAACGTCACTTATATAACTTTGTAGTGTAAACCTTAACTAATGGCGCGTTATTTGGATGAGTAATCGAAGGCAACGGTTGGGTTCTCAGTGGTGACATTTCGGTGTTGCTTTCAACTCATAATAGATAACACATGGGATCGACGAAACACAACAGCATATTCCTCTTGTATCATATAATATGCCATCTCGACTACCTGGTTGGGGTCCGCGAGATGATAATCGATGATTAGAGACCTTGAACGACATGGCTCAAAATCGTTCGCAATGGCACCGGTGCATTTATTCTTTGTGTTCTCTCAAATCCTAATCTTCTGGATTCTTCAACTTTGTACACTTTTCTCACTGAATCATACTTCTCAAATAGTATCTTCTAACCCTAACCTCTCCGATTACTTCTAATTCCCTTATTACCTCTACTACTATTGGATTTGAATTGACAATTATATCTCTGTGCTGATATGGTATGGCAACATGAACTGATGTACTTACGTACGAAGTTCTACGTTGCATCTAACTGATAATATGCCATCAAATACTTAAGATCAATTTGTAATGTAAGTACATGTAGAAGGTTTGGTTTAACGTCTGTGACGGAAAACAATTTTTATCTCACATGAATTTCAAGTTACAAAAAAATTTCCAAAAACATGATATAATAATTAATTACAAGGTGATCTCACCTTGAACAATTGGTTTTCTGTCAATACTAATCCATGGTATAAATCAGAAAATGGAGGATTAACTCCATCTTTTAATTGATCTTGAGGAGCTGACTGAGTAGCAGACATTAAGATATCAGCTACTTCCAATAAATCTTTGCAGAAACTTTGGATACCGAATAATTTGGCTTCGTCTATTTGTTTCATTAAACGTTTCCGCATGTTTTCTGATTCAGCAAGAGTCCTTTTATATTTATCATCTAGATCATTATATCTTTCAGATAGTTTCTGCATTTCAATCTTTAAGCATTCTATTTCTTTATTATTTTCCTTCGGTGTTGATTCCTCAACAGTTTCCACGCTAAATTTACGATTGAGATGTAATCTACAATAATCTTTTATAACAGGTATCGTAGAACAACTATTGTCTTATAAAGAAATTGACTAAAAACGAAAACTTACCGAAACTGTGCTGCTAAATGTGCAGAACCTAGATGAATGCTACGCGAAAATTTGGTAACCACGCCTAGTGCCATAAGTGAGTAAGTATTATACAAGTTTGTTTGTAGATGATTAAATTAATATCTTGCCAAATCAAATAAGATCTAAACAATGGAGAAAAAATATATAATAATACGTACATATACATCATTAACATGGTCGAATAAAACATATCAAAACTCATTACAGTCAGTCATGTGCAGACACTTTAGCAATATGTGAACATACTTTCACAAAAGTAATTCATTTACGCTGTAAAAGCTGACGAGGCGAAATGAATGGATTCATATTATAATAATCTTTTTTTGATTAACATAATTTGGTACTATTAGGTACTAGATGAATGAGATTCAAACAAACACAAAAGTTCATTATCCTACTTTAGTGAAGTGTGCTATGATTTTGCTAATGTCAACCGGTCAAATAGAGGAAATGCTGACATGTTTTCTAGAGAATCGGTGTGTTTATCATGAATTAAAGTCTTCCTAAAGTCAAGTAACCGGAAACCTGACAACTTACAGATTTCTAATAAGCTACACTCTTGGCTATTATTATTCTTCCACAACGTTTAATTATTTTTCTTTTGAAAATATATTAAACACTTGTGAAACTTGTAATATATAGATTGAAAGCAGATTATCAAATAACAATCTCATAGAGTTTTGATATTCTTGAGTCTCTAATCCTTTACATATGGATTAGTTGAATCCGAGAGTGGGATTGTATCCTGAACAAGATGACCTCGTGAGCTGTTAGAGATATGAAGGCATTTGTCACTTCCTCTTGAGGGACATGATAAGAAAACTGGATTAGCGTTGGTCTTAGTGACTTGGAGTGTGACCTCTGAATCCAAGGGAAAACCGCTTGAGGCCAATCACGCATGGTTTTCTTTAAGGGGAGCTTTCGAAACGTTAGTACCTATCTTTTTGCTCATTTTTAAAGTCTACTTTTTGGATAAAAAATCCCAATCAAGAAAACAGGTTGCTTTCTCGGTCGAAAGGTTGAATAATCTGCCTAACAGTAGTGTTTAGGTAATATACTACCATCACTAGACACATGCTTTGAGTGAACACGTGGTTAGAGTCAAAAAGCACTTGAAAGTCACAAAACCTGGTTAACGACCAAATTATTTTTATGGAACAAAGTTAAAACATTTATTAGGCAAATCATGACTTCACAAAATGTAGGCTACATACGGTGGCAGTATAGAACAGCCTGACAAACTGAAGATCGAGATACAGTAACTCCAGGTTTTTTAGGGCTTTTGACACTCTCACAAGCGTTCTAACTTAAAAGATAGTGGATTTCAATGACCAACTTTTATCTTGGATGCGAAGAAAGTCTGTGCCATGATTAAGTGTCCGAAAACTGTAGTACCAATATCCAACATATGTTATGGAACCGTTACAAGTTATAGACAGACAGATACAACGCAGAACTTCGTACGTAAGTACATCAGTTCAGGTTGCCATGCCCCATCAGCACAGAGACGCAACTGTCAGTTCAAATCCGAGTGGTAGCAATAATAGAAGTATTGGCAGTAATGGAGGAGATTAGGAAGCGAAGACATGATTCGAGAAGTATAATTCAGTGAGATAAACTTAGAAGGAGAAAGGTAGCGACTATGAGTTATGCAGAAGCTTAAAATTTCATAGAACACAAAGAGTGGATACACCTGGATATTCATTAGATTGGCGAGTACTTAGTTCACTGGTACTACGCTACGCGTAACATGTAAATTGTACAGTCAATAAATGCGAGGTAACGTTCCAACATTAAATAACTTTTATTGTGGACAAGAATGTTCATTCTTGAGCTTATTATTGTTATTCCAAACATGCGCTAACTTACTTGAACTTTAAAGGTGACAGGTTAACAAGTTTAGCCTTTAGAAGGCTTGTGTATATTCTGAAGTTACGTTGGGTGCTGGGGGATGGTGAAAGCAATCGATAACTGGCAACAATAATGAGTTTAAAACGATTTGATATCCAAAGCTGAATAAGATTCTGGGCGGTAGCGGTTTGCGTTTTGCCAGACGGTTCTTTTCGTACTAGGAGAACATGTAGAGCAATATGAATGAGAAGAACTAGAAAAGAGAGCAAAATAAGAGTTAAGTGACGACCCAGCACGCTCATAAAATGAGTTACATTTAATAGACATATTAATAAACAGTAATTAGTAATCACGCAAACTCAAGATTAGAGAATGTATATAGAAAAACTAGGAGCCATTAACATAAAGATTTCAAACATTTGAGAGAAGGATGAAGTCATGGAATAAGAACGACTCACTTTCAAAACCAACAACGCTCTCACCTGCACGACCTTGAACAACTTGATTAACAATGTTGCATGTGTAGGTCGGCACGTTTCTGAGATTTTCTAATATATTGATAGCCTTTTCGTGTTTAAAGATCATCACAGTCATTGATAATATGAAAAACTCTATGTTTATTGTGAATCTCAGCTTGGTTACTACGTGACAACATTTCTCGTGAACCATAGGTTGGCCAACTTCATTAGAAAGTCTATCATATGAATGAAAATCATTACACATGGTTTTGCAGATTGATAATCTGTGTGATTCGTCTTACTTGATGCGTTTAGTAGCATCATACTGAATTACCGGTTCTGGAGTTGGGAGGAATTAGAAGAAACGTTGAATGAATTGGAGCATGTATGATGAACATTTTCTTATGTCTTTCGGACTACGTAGGCTCACCGTCTACACATACGAAGTAACAAGTTGGATAACATGAGACTAAAATATATAAATGTTTTTCTCAAGTCCACCTCTGGTTGGAAACGTAAACCACAAGGTTTATGAGTAATAAATAAACCGACAGTACTTAAAACCCTAAGTGAAGTTTTAGGTCTAAGATTCTGAAATGATAGTCAGTGTTCCGCGTTAGATCAGGTGAGCAGGTGTTTTGGAGGGTGGATGAATCATGAAATTATTATAACTGATATGAAGGCAATGAACGCCCTATCTGCAGATGAATGTATACTACTTTATTTATCTCGGCTGCGATACATGATTGCAAATTCAGTCGGTCAAGGGGATATGGTGAAACTCTAGAGTTTATTTTGGGAGAAGGATTTGAGACAAGTAGTAAGGCTTTTGAGTTGCTGAATAATAGGTTCGCTGAGTACTGTAGGCAGACCGTTATAGTATTTAGCACGTTTCCTGGGAGAATTCCTGTTAAGCTGAGTCGCTAGATCTCTGCTGGTATCGCTTGTGTAATTCTAGCGTATTACAGAGGTGCACTTGACTTGTAGTTTGGATGTAGCTGAGCGTTTGAACTTGGGACACGTCGTTGGAGCTTTTTTATTTATACAGCAGATCTTTGGACTTGAAGTCTTATTGGATATGTTTGCACTTTGGGAGGAGTTGGGGAATGTTTTGTGGGGTTTATTTAACGATCATGAATTTAACTGTTACTAGTGCACAAACTGAACTGCTTAGCCGGTAGTCATTAGTGACTCAACGTTGAGTTGTAGCTCTGTTAGGATATTCGTCCAATATCCTAAGAGAATTATTGTAATTATAATCTTAATGGTCGTCCTAACTATCAATGTCACAGACTTCAATGTTGTTTCCTATTCCACCCAACTCTGACGTTTTATGACCCGGACCAGGACCGGGATCCTAATTCTCTTTTGGACTCAGACCTCGTACTATCTGGATGCTTGTAGCATACATGTTCTACTTCATGTTAAGTCCTCTTCTTTTACTCAATCGGGATCAGAGTGGTTTGTCGTCTCGCTGGATTCTCGATCCTCATTCTCGTTTTCCGACTAAGGTAAGCTCGTAATAGTTCAAGCATATAAAATTGACGTCTTTACGTGCATGCGTAACAAGCTCTGTCACAGATAACTCTAATCTTCTTAAGTAGTGACTGGCTATTAATAAAGGAGAATGGAACAGATGAATTTAGTCTGGTGTTTACGTACACCGCATGCTTAACACCAAGAGTGGAACGGTCTACTCTCTTTTGGTAGTGATTTTAAAAGACTGTCAAGTATGTTATATACAATCGCATTTCGCTTGCAATGAAGTCTTTTCAACACTTCTGAGTATACGTGGTCAATTACCATTTCAGTTATTTTGCAGTTTCGAGATCAGAATTTTCCGAAATACTGTATGGTAGTAAATCGTGAATGGTTTGGACAGTGTTGAGTTAGCTTGAAATGTCCTCAGAATTATCATTGGTGAAAGTATTGCAGTTTAATTCAAAGGAACTGGGGTCGATGGGGTTGTGTTTAACCTGGTCGCAAGTGGCTAGTGGTTATTCAATCCGAATACACTCAGTTGGTTTAATTAATATATCCTTGAGCTAGCGATCCAGATCTAAATCACTGGATTTGCTCCTGCAGACAGACCCACTGACAGTCTGTAGGTTGTCATAAAGTGTGTCTGTTTGTGCGCTAACCAAGTGTTAAGGATCAGCTACACTTTCTAGTAGGTGATCGAAAGTGCTTGTTCCAAATGAAGTCTAGGAAGCAGTCAGTGATGTCGAGTCAGTCAGTTTGTGGTTGGTTATTTTGTTCCTATGAGTGAGATACAAGGTAATGAGAGATTATAGCCAAGTTTTTGGTACAGTTCTAATGTGCCTGTAGAGAAGTCAGAGTACGAAAGCGAATGATAACTTCTCTTAATTAACGGATTTACATATTTAAGAGGTGTTTTAGGAGAAATGCGAAATTAAATGTTTTTAGATGTACCTAACATCTTGTGGGAGCTCATTATAAGTAGAATTATTTCGATATGAACAGTGTCTATTCAGACTTAACTTGGTATAAGGAAACTGTCTAAACCTGTGAGTGAGTTCAATATTCCTATGGCAAAACAGTATGAAGCCAAAAACTACAGTGTAACGATATGGCTAAAGTAAAACGAAGTCCATAAGTCAAAAGTTAGCTTATATATACCGCCAACTTTCGGAAAAGAGAGACAAATCACATGAAAAAATGTCACAACCTCCAAAGTAAGCAAGGATCGTCTACGTTGGTGATCTATATTTTCCTGAATCAGCAATTCATCCATCGCTCTGCTCTGGGAATGTAGTCTATGAATTTGCTAGAAGTTGTTCAGAATTTTTAGAAGCTACATTTCTCAAGGCACAACCACTGAAGAATTTCATGAACTACGGTTTTGTGCTGGGTAAATATGAGTTCATGTAACGGCTTAAGTTAGGTGGTTAAGAGTTGACGGAACGCACTAATTGAGGTTAGAATATGGTATCTAAAGTTCCTGTTTTCCAGCTTTCTTTATGTAGGTATTGTACTGAATATTATGGCTTTCAAATTTCGAAAGGCTTGTTTATTTTAATTTGGACTTTTCTCTCCTCTGTTCTCTGACACAACGTAAATAACAATCCACTACAGCCACATTACTAGATCTGGATATAAAAACCGCGGGGTAAACTGAAATTACGAAATCGGTGATCCCAACGTGTTAATTATTTGACGGATAGTACTGAGATTATTGATTCATAGATCGGAATGATTGGTTCCAGTTATTGTTATCTTGTTAATCTGACCTTGTTTGTTTAGTTTATTGTGAAACTTTGTTTTATTGTCTGTTGATGTCAAGCTAAGAAGCCCATATCACAAAGCCCTTTGTCGTAAAGGATATTACCGTTTTATATGACCCCTTCCTTCAAAGATTGTTTTTCACAGTGGATTTATATTAATGCTTCGCAAATGAGTTTGAACAATTTAAAATTCAATCTGGTTGCTAAAATACGATACTATCTTTTGATAAAGTGGGACTGTCCATGAATATTTAAGAAACTGCATCTCAAAATGAGTAGACGAATCGTTGGATTTTTCAAGTGGTTATGGGGTCCTTGGGACGCAACTAAACATGTTTCTTGGAAGTTATAGGAGAATTTCGAAGTACTGGTCCGTCGACTATCATTGCGATGATCATTTTTGTGGGGTTTGCATATATTTATTCTACTCGGACTTTGAACTTGTTTGTTTATTACTTTAACTTATGTCATTTTCAGTCTCATTGTTTAGGTATACTGTTTTGGGAATTCCGTTTTTTGAACCTAAAATCTGAAGGTCTTTTGTAAATTATTATCAGAACGATGTATTTGGATCAGTTGATGGTACCTTACAAACAAACTTTAGGAACCTGGAACCTCAAATGGTCTATTTTGTATTCAGGTAGTAATCACAAGTGTATCATTTATCCGCCTCTCAATAACAAACTAGAAGCGAACTTAAATATGACACTTCCCTTCTCTGAATAATGTATCTTGTGACTTATCGATTAAAATGACTTCGATTATGCCTGTAAAAGTGTATGTCTCACAAAGCAGACTGTTCATTCAGAAAAAACAATGATTATCACTATCTCTGTCGACCTGAATGTTGCTAAACAGATTTCACAGTAAACGAAAATAAACCTATGATTTATTTTAAATACTCAATGAATGCAAGAACCAACAATTATACTTCATGTCTATGTACCCATTCCCGTCATTATAACTTGGGAACTGATTGGCAATCGTTTGTCTGCACTTTCTTCATTGTTTTCCAGTATTCAAGAGATAATTACTTAATTTGGTGAGCTTTACGGGACGTCATAAAATCAGGTTTATGTGCCTTCATGTAAGCACAGTGTGATCATATGTCCTTTGAAGTGCTTCATCATCGTTTTCCAGTTTTGCTAGTTTGCTGATACCCGTGAGTTATAAATATAAATAATCGTAGTCTCTCATAGAATTTGAGTTCCATTTGTGAGATTCTTAGTCGAACTTTTACTTCGTTTTTCAAGTTAGCCAAACGTAAGATAATTGTCATCTCAAAGCTGAACGATTCCGTGCTGATATGCTGTAAGACACTTCACTGCATTTTCCCGGTAAACCACTGAACGGCAGTGAAAGTTTTTACCGTTAAAGATGATGCCGATTCCTCTGAATTGCCTACATATGATAATTAGAAGTATGTGAATCACTGAATTAACTAATAATCCAAGAAACAAAGTAAGTGGATCAAGAACTACGAGATGAGCACGAACGAATGTACTGTGTTTAGAATTCGAAATCAAGCATTCAACAACAACAAGAAGTCACTAGTTCATTCAAACACCACACTAGAACAACAACTTAACAACCTAGATGTTTTTTTATTTGCAGGCGTCTTTTAATGTCACTTTATAGGAAAAAATTCGTCTGTCGAATGCAAGGACAAATTCAGTTCCGGCCAGTAAGTTATCATCTATCAAAGGGATGTAATTCAGAAAGATTGTTATGAACTGTGATTTGATTAACAACATTGATAACAATAATGTCCATGAAACACAGAAAAGAGCGTGGAACTTTATCCGGTATCAGTTACAGACGATCGTAATTGCTACTCATAACTGCGGTACCTGGCTGAGGTGCGGTGTTTGTCAATACATTTGTGAATTGT